GTCAGAGTTCGGAGACCCCGGCCACACATATAAACCATACGGCTCCGATTTCGGAGTCCCCGGCTGGTAGTGGTTAAGCATATAAGCACATAAGCATTCCGTTGCTGAGTCTTGAGATCAGCAGGAGCCATGCTTGCAAATGATGACAATAATTTACATACCACATGTGATTCGGTGATCAAAACTTCCACCAACTCTGATGCAAGCAATCTCTCAGGTGTAGCTTTTCCCCAGCAGTTTTTGTACAACATCAGTGTGGTAGTTAAGTCACAAGTCCCTGCAAGTCCATCACAAGTCATTCAGTCGTAAGCCAATTCATAATCTATTCAAATGAACTGTGACAAAGCATTCTTTTGTCATTGCTTACCCTGTTATGTATGACTGGACTTGTGATGGATTCGGCTCAACGTCAAAACTGTACGACAGTTAGTCCAGTTCCTGAAGATCTCTTTCCCAGGATGCCGTCTTTGTAGGAAAATTACAACTACCTATTCAACGCCATCAGGGTGAATGTGCACTTGGTCATCCAAATGTATTTGAAACACAACACAGTTGAAGTATGCCATGAAAACCTTGCGTCCCCAACGCCAATGCATGTGGCAGTCTGTAAGAAGTGACATTGATTGAGGGAGACCTGTCACAGGATTATAGTTTTCCGTCCATCAAAACGCCAGAAGACGTTATCACATAGAATCATAATTCTGAACTATCATTCCACCTGTTCATGTTTGCATTATTCTGTTGTCCAAAACATGGCTCACCTCGGCGTGTAATGTCCCCAACATACCCCCCATGAGTGAAAATTGATCATATGACTGATGATTTATGCCAAATAGCCATATTTCATATAAGAAGCATGGTTATTGCCCAAAATGTAGAACCCTGGATGAATAATCTTACATTACACTGGACTCTCAATACAAAGAGCTTGAACCACTTGCCACTGGGGTTGCTGATACAGGACATATATTCTTTATCTGTCTGTCAGATTAGAGTAGAAACCAGACAGTCCTTTGTGTGGGTGTAAGTGTCCAGAAAATGAAGATAGGAATTTTTAAAGAATTTTGAAAACAGAAAAAGAAGAAAATTATCCCGTCCCAGCATCATCAACATTCCTAAATGCCCCCGGCGCAAAGTGCTTAACACATGCCCTGCTACAAAGAGCAAATTCTTAAGAGTCCAATCACTAGAATTTATTTACTTTCCGTTTCTCCAGTCCTGTTATAACTGCTGTGGTTACAGGGTAATTTGGCTTGTACCAGCAACCTTGTTAGAATGAGAATTCACTCTATCACATTTTATTTTCCTTCTTTGATCTGTATGCAGATAATGGAAACTGCTTTCTCTCAAAGACGCTGGATGCTTCAGAGTTCATAGAAAACCAGTACCATAACCTAAGTGTTAAAGTTATCTTAATATCACTTTTATTAACTCATTCTTGCTTTGAACATTCCTTGCGTCAAAATTATCTGTTTATAATGGCACCAGTAAGTTGCCTATTACATCAAGTTATTTTTAACCGCAACACGTACAAGCATGTTCGAGATCTGTGTACAGTTTCTGCTTTTTTACATCAAGATTTAAGTACAGGACACTTTATCGTATTCTTGCAGAAAAATTTGAGGTCTGTCTTTTTTTTGTACAGAAGAGTTTGATCATGCAACAATATTAAGTCCAGAGCACACCATATTTATAGCTTACAGACATATTTGTAACAAAAATATATAAAATTGTTTATAAGAGTTGCATAACATTCTGCAAATCAAAAAGGAGGAAACGTAATTGAACAGCTGAACATTCCTAGTTTTTTAGCATTGTATGTTTTGAACATGTGTATAATGTTGACTTTTATTTCACAGACTAACACAAAACATAACTTTTAACAAGATGTTGCAAACAAATGACAAAAAAATAAAATCTATCTACCTTGTCAAAGAGTGTGTGCTGTAATCTTGACTTGCTTTTACATGTTCCAAAGTACAAAGTAAACTTCTACATAACACAAAAATACTTTTCTGAGTAGACAATCAAGTTTATGTCTCTCAATACTGGTTTAGCTGTGAGTGTTGTGCAGACTCTACAAAACTCACAAAAGTGGACAATGATTCTGGAAATTTCTGACAAAGTCTGCTGCTTTGAAAATACACATATGCAGATTCAGTGTAACTTTTTTTTTAAGTGGCTCCATCTGCCTAAAAATGGCACCCTGCGCCACTCTCCAAATGTGATGGCACGGGGCATTTTTTGGAAGTGATTGCTTCTCAACGGCTGTATATGTAAATGGCATTTACAGTTTACATGTATGCATTAATACTTTCATTGCAGATAAGAGGGCTGAACTTGCTTCTGATCAGACTGTTGGTCGGTGATCATTATGCCACATGATGCCCAAATACAAGCTTAACTTAAAAGAGAAAAACACCTATTTCAGGGGTCATTTTTAAAATACTGCTTATTTTAATTTTATTTCTTTTAAATGCTGGCTTCAAAAATGACTGAGGAAAGGCAACCGAAATCGACCTGGGGGAAAAAGTGAAAATGGCCGCTAGTGATCGACACCACCAAGCAAGCAGTGGCTAACTCGTGACCCTCCAAAAGCCATCAAAGTCCAACAAAGTTTTGCAGAATGTTGCAGGATGACTAATGCATTGTATGCGAAGGTCAGCCACTAGTTGAGACACTGATTCCAACCATAAAAGACTGAAGAAAAAACTGGAGTAAGATGAATACTGCAACTACCAAGCTCACTTGCCAAACCATCTGTAATTTAAATTACAAAATGGTGACTGACACAAATGTGATAAAAAGTATTAAGTACACTTGGGAAATGGAGTTCTGATGCCACAACATAAATCCATTTATACCATCAGGTATAAAAGAATACAAAAAGCTTTTTTGTTTTTATGTGGACTGCTCACTTCATATCTTGACAATTTTAAAAGGAATTCCAAGTGTTGCAGAGAAATTCACTAATTAGATTGGAGTGGGTTTCTCCATTTTGTAAAAATCAACTTCTTGCATCTGTAAACTCTACAGCTGTGTAACATTAAACTACATTGGTGAGGTAGCGAAATGTTTGCAAAGCAGCACCACAGTTCACTTGCATACCAAGAAAATATCGCCAGCCTTGAGTTGGTCAGAGATCACAGAAACGTGACATGAAATGAGTTTGGCAAGCTTGAAAAGGTATTTTGAAGCATTTCAAGTCCAAAATTATTCATAATTACCCTGCAGTGCTAGTGAAGCACATTAGACTACCTTTTATTTCTACTCGTACTCGTGCATATTCCATTCTATACTTTGTCTGCATTCTACTGACGTCCACTGACTCGTAATAAAGGTATCTTTTGCTCATAGTTATCATAATGTCATGCACTGCTGCTTCTGACTACTAACCTGAATACCTGAATTTAGTGACAGAAACTGGCCCCAATTCTTCTTCTTGTTGCCGAGTATACCACACGTCCACTTACAAGCCCAGTCTTAAGGCGAAGGATCGCAAACCGATCCCAATTCATTTGAATAGCTTGTGACTTGGCTAGGCCTTGATGGACTTGGGACTGGCTCATCTCTCACACTTTCAATTCCGCCATGGTGGGTGGAATATTTTCGGGGGGGGGGGGAGTTGTGAGACCATTCCACCCTGCCCATCACAGAACCTGCCAAAAGGGGGGGGGCATGCCCTCAGTCAAAAGGGGGGCACTGGTCCCCTGCTTCTGAGCCAGTGTATCCCACAATGATTTGCATTTCCTTCGCAGAATTCAGTAAACAAGGTAAATTTAGGTAGGATTCCAAGAATGAACAAATACATGTGCAGGTCCCTCATGATAGGTGTAGTTAATTAAGTTGCATAGACAAAGAAACACAGCCATTTGCCAAGAATTTCTTGCAGGATCAGCCTTGTAACTTAACCAGTCCCAAAAAATGAAGGGAATGAAATTTCAAGAGCAATATGATACCCAAACTATTGGTCAATCACTGTTACCAATGCACATACCACAATACAGTCTCATATGCAAATGGCCTTAGCTTGATTCATTCTTGAGTAATCCTTTCATCACACATTCTCCATTGGTCATCTAGCACAAATATTTTAAGTCAGTGGTTCCCTGTATGGTTAATTAGTTTAAAAGGGCTACTGATAACCAGTGATGCATGCACAAGTTTCAAACCAACGCAGCAGTCTCTACTGTTATCGAACATACTGCTTCGATAGATGAAACTCGGAACATTTAGAGACCTTGCTCCAGTTCAAATCAGTTTGATTACTTCATGCATGCATACATTAAGTACTGCATTCCACATCTGCAAATCTAAAAATAGCTCACCCTGGCTTTTGAGTTTTAATGCACTGGGCCAACCATACCCCGGACAATATCTTAGAGTGCAACAGTTACAGTTTTTTAAAAATCCGTGCAAAAATACTTGGCATTTTGTTTAAAAACTAATGAAAAGTGAAGTTTTAAGCGTAAAAAGTAAAATGCTCTACATTCAATTACAAAAAACCTTGCTTAGTTGTGACATGCATAGATAATTTGGCAACCTTACAGCAGCATATCCTTATAAAGGATAGAAGAATAGGCTTGGCTGTGAACATTTTGAATGCCTAAGTCTTTAGCAATTGATGACAGATACATGTTGCTGCATCAGTTAAGAATACAGCCATGTCCGAATTACTTGGCAGTGGCCTGAAATTGCGCACGAGTCTATGGTAGTGGCCACAGACAGTTCCCATAGAGTCGTGTAATTTCAAGACATGGCCAAGTCATTCGGACGCAGCGTGCCACTCTGACTGACCAACCACAGCTCAAGTTGCATACAGATTTAAAAAAGAGCGAGGGAAACTGAAAAGAGCGAGGGAAACTGAAAGGAGAGGAGGAAAAGGACTCTGAATACGAAGAACATTTGACCAAAGCAAAAACTCTGTAAGTATTATTGAGGATAAACTAAACTTTCTCCTGACCTGACAAACACACTGAATTTTATCTTCTAGCATTCTATTAGTGTTAGAGTTTAATCCCAAATTACACAGACGAGGAAATTCTGTTCAAACTGTCCCAAGTATTTTGATTTTACAAATCGGTGTGGATTAAGTTTTGATTGTTCAAATGTGCCACTCCAATTTTTTTACACAAGCTTCCTTGCAAAGTTGAAGCTTATCAGTGAAAAAAAATTGGCAACACTTGAATTTCACCAGCCATCTTCAAGAACAGATCTAGATTAAGTCTTCCATAGGTCCATTCGGCCAAGGGTACCAGCACCAATTTCACAATGTGGAAGAGCATTGGAGCCTGGCATTTTTGTGTTGATGCCAAGCTGTTCTAAAAAGCTATATACTAGCTAGGTTGAAGCTTTTTCCAAAACTGAGGTCAAAGAGAGAAACACTCGGTATCTTTGTAGGTCCTCCAAATTTTTTACAGGCCCCCCAAGTTTTCCTAGGCCCTTGCTACAGTGCCTGCAAGGCATCTGAGTAATCCAGCCCAGTTGGAGAATGTCCCCCTATCTATGGATGAAATGCACCCAGCGCAAGACAATACAGCTTGCACCTGAGCACCCTGCTTGATGATGTATCACCTGGTACTCTTCTTGAACTGTCCATCCGCCCCTTTCCCCATGTAGGAATTCCAGCTCTGCTTCTCAGCGGGTAGAAACCGGAAGTGCTCACCCACTTCATCTGTGTCCACCTCGGCCGAACTGAGCCCCTCGCTCAGCGTGGGTTGAGCTTGGGCCGGCCTGAGCCAGTCTTGCCTCTTAATGGCGCTGTCCAGGACCAGCCTGTGGACTCGCAGCCTGAGCTTGGACGAGATGTAGCTGAGCCCCTCGTCCATTAGTTGGGCCATGTGAGTCTCAGCGTAGATGTAATCCAGGCTGCCGTCATTGTCGAGGTCACCAATAACACCTGGTCAAAAGTGGTACCATGTTGAAATGATCACAATTTATTAAAACTGAGTCAATCTGAATAATTAAATATTTGAACATTCAATTTTTCCCCCAAAAAAGAAATTCTCAGGATTGTTTTTCTGGAGAATTTATAAAGGCTTCCTTCATAGATTTGTCAAGGATTCCCCCAAATTCTGACAGATTACCCCTCAAATGTCCTGCGATTTAAGTACTAGATTTTTCACTGTAGATGTTTTGTCACAAATGTCTTCCAGATAAAAGGAAACAACACCAAGCAATCCAAAGTGCATGCACATCACTGGACAGACAACCACCAGCCAATAGATTTTACTCATAAGTTGGCCATACTGAATTGAAAGCGAGGTTAACCTTTTATGTTTAGGAACCTGAGAGTAAAAAATAAGGCAATGAAATTTAACATTACCAATTAATACCTGCTTCGTGAGCTTACCCTGTAATTAAATATACATCAATGTTTTACGCCACTTACAGCTTCCACATAAGTAACTATAGACCAATCCTGACACAGAATAACTGCTCATTTATAGGGGTGTCCACATCAGCAAGCATGAGCCAGTATTGTTCCAAATAACTGCCCAAATTAGCTGACTCTGCCCTTTCACCTAACCCTCAAGAGCGCGCACTGATCCCTTGGCTGAATTGTCTAAATGTATGGCTTTCTGCTTTCGTCCTTTGCTTTGCATCAACTTGCACATGGGGAAAATGAACAAGCCACCTGTGACATCACCTGCTTACCTGTGCCCAACAGGCTGGGTATGTAAACGGTGCACAAATCACCCGTGGGGATCTCTCTCCTCCTTCGTGACTTGCCGGCTTCCGTTGTTTCTCCTTTTGTCTGGTATGGCATGTCCTGGGATTCCTGCTCTGGTAAGGTGTCCTGGTCTGTTGAAGCTGTTCCAGGCTCTGTGACATATTCAGTCACGTCTACGAAAGTCTGGATTTCATTTGTGATTTGGATGTTTGGCAATGTTGAGTTAGTTACTAGGTCGTTGTTTGCATCTTTTGATGCCTGCATGTGAGATGTCTCAGTTTTTGAGGTGGTATTCTGGTTAACAGGGACCACCTCCATTTTTTCTAGATCAGCGTCAGATTTGTTCCGTGAAGGATTAACTGGCAAGTTGATGGCAATAGGGCTACTGGTGGTCGGTCTTGCAGTGACCATGATTTCTGGAGACGTCGGATGCTGTGCTGTTGTGTGCTGTGCAGTACTTTCTACAGCTGTGGAACTTGCAACGTTTGTCACCGAGCCTGGTGTTCCAGCGTCAAGAACCAAAGGTTGGTTGGTGCGATTCCCCACCTGTGTGTCATGACCCGAGTCTTGGCTTATGACATCCGGTGGAGGTGTAGCTATTTCTGTAACTGTTGGCAAGATGGAAGGGGCGTTACTGCTGCTTGACCGGCTGACCGATCGGTTGGTATTCATGCCACCGGTGTCCAACTTGGATTGATTGGTTGTAATCTCCTCGGTGCTACTTTCCCGTCCTGTGGTCAAATCTGAGCTTTCTGTTGTCATTTTAAGCCGGGCATTTAAATTCAAAAGGTCAGTTGGTCTTATGGTAATGGATTCTGTTGTTGGAGTATCGGTTGTTTCAAATGTTGACTGTACACCATCGACAGCTGTCGTTTCTGAAGTACGGTGCGGTGCTCTTTCACTGTTTGCACTCATGGGTGTAATATACTCAGTGCTTGTGCTTCTGTCATTATCCTTTGGTTGCACTGTTGAAGGTTTAGTGTCACCAATTGATGTGGTTGGCTGGACTGTTGACATTGTTTCAACGTCACTCACTGAGTAAGTTGGTGCTGGGGTACTAGTCTCAAACACTGCATCCTTATCGTACTTCGGAAATGTCGTTACTTCCAAGACTTCAGATGTGCTCATCACCGTGACAGATTCCTCTCCCTCTGGTGTTGTAATAGCATCTGTTGTAGTCTCCAGTCCCTCTGGCTTTGTAACAGCATCAGTTCGTAACCTTAGACTCTTTGGTGTTGTAACAGCCCCACCTGGAGTTGTTGAGTACCTGTGTAAATTGTGTCGTGCGAGATCTTCCTCAGTTACGGCAGAATGGGTATTGGTTTTTGTGGTTGTAGGAGGGGATTGGCTGGAAAGGATCCCATGCATGTCAGGTGGTACTGTTTCCACGGCGCCAGGCTTGCCATGGTGATATAAATCTTCTTCCATCATAAGCCTGTCTTCTTCGGTAAGAGCTGAAAAAGAATGGGACGTTGGTGCTTGAAGGGTTTGATAGACTTTGACAGAACTGATGATCTATCATCACACTGTGAGTGCTATTGAAGGGAAACGTATCACTCACTTTGTTCATTACGCACATGTACTTGGGTGCAAAACTGTCAAGGGTTCCTACTGGCTTACAAAGCCACTAACTCAGAAGTGGCTTCATCAGCAACTCACAAGTCTATAAGAAGTGGCTGCAGCACGATAACAGCTTCCACAGAAACACATGTTATTTCAAGTCAAAGCCACAGAAAATCTGAGGATTTGATCACATGATATGTGCTCAGTGATTTTCAAAAAGCTCAGGATTTTTTTCGAAAGATTAAATCACATAATTGTAGGGAACTTACACCCCCACTTCAAGCACAAAATTGACAACGACTGATAACTTACTGTAATTATATTTGAATGCATCCGCAGAGGCCAGCCGCAAGGGCTCGAGAGCAAGATTTCTGTCTACTATCAGGAGGTCTGCACGTAGGACATCCAAGCTCAGCAGACACAGCTTTTCAGGTACCATCTCATCCCCGTGTCTCCGAGGTCGTCCAGGGGAAGCTAAGGACTCCTCGCTGCCATCTCCCGTTTCATCGGGCCCCATGCCGTGCCCTGCAGGCTGTGGTAGCTCTGGTCCCTCCGCATCGCCTATCTTGGCATCGAGCCCCTGAACCCAGAACAGGAAGGCGTCCTTGCGGCCGTAGCTCTGGAGGGTGAGAGGGGAGGACATAATGGGGCTGAAGCTAGGCGTCTTGAGGGACCAAAGGACTTTGCCATCCCTGCCATCAAGGATATAGACCTGGAGAAATGTGAATAAAATCCACCGGTTGAACAAATTAGTCAATGTCTTGCAACTCCACAGTGTTTACATAAACTGCCATGAAACAGCTAGCTATTTCTAATGACAGAATGTTGTTTAAGTCTGCATATTTCTCTTGCAGGAGAGCACTATTAGAAGAATGTCAACCAACTTCAACTCCCATCAGTGCCTTCTATAATTACTCAGCACAGCACAGAGTGGCATTTCAGGTTTTCCATGTGCATCCTCAAACCTTCTGCTTTTCTTCAAAGCTTTCAGATTAAAAAATGGCTTATTTCACAAGGAATATCCTGCACAGAAGTGCATGAGCCACAGTCAAGGACCCATCTAAGACTGCAGCATCTTTGAAAGATCCTCTGGCTTACACTGGTCCTATGGAGTGATCATTTCTGCCATGAGATAGTCAAATGAGAGAGAAGAGTCTCTGGATAGCACAGAGTAACTCTTTACAAGGGAAGCTTACGCAAGAAGAGATGAATTTTGGCCATTTGCCCTCACTCAGGTGCACCATGAGATCAATGGTGTCATCGTCGTTGAAATAGCCCGGCGCAAGATTGCTGTGGAAACAGATACAGCAACTGGATAAGTACTTCTTCAAGTGAAAAAAGAATTACAACGGCATGATCGTAACTGACGCCTGTTCTTGCATGTTTAAGTTTTGCAAAGGGATTCATTTACGTGTATCAGATTTAAAAATAAAAGTAAACAAGTGAAACAAATACCGATTGACTCAATCTGTCCAAATGAAGAGTGTTTATCATCTGACGTGTTGAAAAATGAATAAAAAGCTGCCTGAAAAGGTGCATCACTACTCAAATTACTGTGGTAAAGTATCTTACTTTTGGACACTTGCTGAAAGTGAAAAGTCACAACACATGGCACCGCGTGCCTCATATTTTATAAAAGTTAAGAAGAGTAATTCCACTAAACCCCAGTACAAGCAGTGAACCTTGAGAGTCTAAGTTCTTCGAGAAAACATCTGCACCGTTTGGTATCTCCCAGGCCGAGCCTGAATCAACTAGCTACAGCTCTGAGTAGAACAACGGTCCATAGACACATATCAGGATGTTACCATGTTTGTCTTATTCCCTGTAGACCCAATAGCAACAGTAATACAATTTCACACATTGTTAAAAGGGAGCAGACTGTTTTTCTTTCTAGCTCCAGTTTGGTTACATTGCTTTGAATGGAATAAAAGCAAGATGGCTGCCCCATGATAGAGGTCTATAAGGAGTGACTACAGCCACTAGCCAGAGGCTGCTAGTGGCTGCAGACAACATGTTAATTTCAGCCATAGCCCTAACCTTTGGACACTGCCTGACTTGTAGGATGTGGAGGTGTGCCTGCATACTGTCAAATACTGTTGAATGCTGGGAATGGGCGATATGGGCAGCATATCAAGCACCCTCAGAATAGAGATGGTGTGCTTAGGATGCACAGAATGATGGCAATTTGCAGAAAATTAAGTGAGTGCTTTGTTTTACTCCATTTGTAATGGCCTCCATTTGTAACGGCAGCCATGTTTATGTTTCTTCAAAAGTACACTGTTTTTCGGTAGTCAGCGTGGGTCCTGTAATACTGATGCTCCCCTCACAAACGTATGCTCTGCGCTTTTGAATGTGCCCCAGGAAAAAGGGGCTGATCACTGGTCCCTTTGAACCCACCTGTAAGTCTCAAACTCGGCAAACCTCTTGCCGGTGGACCAAATGACCCCAAGATTGACCCCATCCAGTATGGCAATGGTGCTGTTGTACATGAACACGACCAGGTCATCCACGCCATCGTTGTTCATATCTACCAGCTCAGTGGGAACAGTCACACCCTTGCTGGAACCACTCCTGTAAATAACCGTACGACGCCCCTTCATTGTGAATTCTTAGCACCATTTGTCCTGTAGCTGGGTGAAATGTTAAACTTCCTGTGGTGCTGTGAACCACCAAGGTCAAAGCCCTTCTTATCTGGTTTGTGGCTTTTAAGTTAAGCATTTCAAAACGAAAAAGATGACAGTTTGGATTTTGTTTTTTCTGTTAAAAATGGCAACATAAGTTCAATCAGGCAATAAGTAAATTTGAGACAACTGCACTGAGGAGAGTGTTCAACTAACAAAATGATATTTAGCAGAATGGGATGGAGGTTGAGGGGTATGGATGGGGGTGGAGGGTGGGTTGAATGTACCCTTCACTCACTGATGAGTTCTCAACACACAGTACCTCTGAGTGGCTGTTAGGTTTATCAATCACTAACACGTTCAGGTAAGAGCGGCGCAAAATGATTTGTGGCCTTAAAATCACTTTGTTAAAATCAACAGAAAGGTTGAAAGTACATGTATGCCATATGACATGTTCATCAGCCGGGCATGCTCAATAAGGAAGCAGCTTTTTTATTTCCAGTCATCATAAAAATCCAGATGAGAAACTGATCAAGTTCACTTTCTAAAAAAAAGGAATTCAAATTAAGTGGACCTCACCTGAGGATCTCCATGGCACCACTCTGAAGAGTCTGTATCGGTGTTCCCCAATGTTCATCGTATCCCTTTTTTTGCAGGGGAGACACGTGGAACAGCTGGTCTGCGCTGCAGGTCGGCATTGACATCACGTAACAGTACAAGTCACGTAGGGATATAGCCCAGAGTGAACCTGCAGAGAGATCCAATTTTTAATACGTTGCTTTCACGGTGACCAGTGATTGGTTCGGAATCTCTCCACCTCACAGTCTGGGTTTGATGAGTTGCCAAGTGTGGAAAAATCTGCGTCAGTAAGAACAGGGCCCAATTTCACAGGGGTGCTAAGCACACAACTGTATGCTAACAGAAGCTCTGCCTATTTCCTGGAGAATGGTAAGCAGTAAGCACAGCAAAAGGCGTGCTAAGCTAAAATGTGCTTAACTTAGTGGCATAACAATGGAAATCTCCATGCATGCCCATGCAATTTTCGTGCTAAGCACAGCAACCATAAAATGTTCACCGTGAAACAGGCTTACCGTGAAGCAATTTTGTGCTATGGTTAGAAAAACATTTACTTAACAGTAAGCAGGGCCGTGGAATTGGGTCCAGGTTCCAAGAAAAAATTTATGTGCGGTTGATAGCTCGTCTGACTGATGGTTCACAAGAGATCAATCTTGAGTATTTTAGTAAATCCAGTACAAGTAGAACACTAATGATTTCTCAAATCTGACCTTCATCTCCAAAGGTTCCTCAGTATCTCTATCATTTTTTTACCATTGCAGGGATGCTTGTGCAAGAAGTGTAAAGGTCAATGTGGACAACAATAGCTCAAGGTCAGGGCCACGGTCAAATCCATTACAACAGACCTTATTCATGGGGAAACCATTTTTGATCTTGTTCCCTGAATCTATCAAATTCAATAAAATCTGTTAAATGGGGTGGTGCCACACTGTTTGGAGTTCCAAACCTCTCTTTCCAATAATTTTTTCAATGTGGCTTAAAACATTTAGACATAATTTATCACAAATTTTAAATTATTCTAAATGTAAACTGGCATGAATTTGTAACGAAATCAAAGTTTGTTGTTATTTTCACTCTAAGGTTTCCAAAATGAAAAGTTAACATTACTTTCAATTCAAGATGGCCGACACATTAACACAGTCTATTCTGGTCATTGAAATGTAAGCAAAGACAATGGAGTGCTTTTGTCATGGTTCTGGATGACTTGTGATAGCTTGCGATTGACGCAACTGAAGCCTTACTCCTTGTAAGTGTAAGTGTGAGTTACGTCATCAGAATCAATATAAGACTTGAAGGTTTTCATGGTGAAAGAACTACATGAGTAAAACGATTGCGGTTACACCATGGATAAATCTCTTTCTTGAATATGTGTGATACCTGAGATGGTTTCACCTCCTGAGCCAAACAGAAGAAAGATAGCTCCATTTGGTCTTGTGTAGAGTGTTATGGCTGAGTAGGTCTCGTGGTTGTCTGGCAAGGAAAGGTACCTGCCCAAGCTCCGCCCGGTCTTTCCTGACAAGAGTAGTAACCTTCCCGCTGGCCTATCCAATTCCTACAGGTAAGAAATTAAAACTTGTTACAAAAAGACTTTATTAAGGACAAAATTATTCTTTCATGAATGCTCCAGAGTAACCACGTACCAATCAATGCCTACAGGTTTTGCTTAATTAAGCCTTACCCTCACAGGTGCAGCTAAGTGTGACAGGTGTACGGCCAACTTGGTTGCAATTGGCAATCAACAGCACCAAAATAAACTGCCTATGTAGAGACTAAGGGAGCTCGTCTACTGAACAATGCCGTGGTTGGATCCTGTGGTAGCTGGCGACTACAGAATCTCTTGCTGACAGTTTGACTTGTTTGTTTTCATTGCAATAACATTGACAAAGAAATGTCTCCCTTGCTTGTTTGATTAGCATGTGACTTTAACTTCAGAATTATGACGACTTGACAACAACGCCTCCTCCAGTGAAACGTGCCCACATCTAAAGCAAGTGTGGTGGAGGCCCTGAGAAGGGTGATCACCATTCTGACCCCTTGACCTCTCCGGTGATCTGAGAGGGTAACATAAACTAACCTTGTCACTGAACCTTGTGTCACCCCCGTGAGTCACCACATAGTCTGGTACCCCATCTTGATCCAGGTCAGGGACAACTTGACCCTGGAAGAAGTTGAAGTGAAGATTGGTCACTCCGGGATCAGCCGACCAAAGAACCGAACCTGGATAAAAAACAATCAAGCACTCAACATGGGGAGTGAAAGATGCTTGTTACTGTTTGTTTGACTTGATTGATAAGCCAGTAATCATTCCTAAAACCTTTCACAAATCAATGGAGATATGCATATTTTGATGATAGATACAATTCGACTCTGTTCAATAATTAATATACTCTGCTATCCCTGGCTAAGCAATGTATGAATTCAGACATGACAAGAACTATCACTCCAGAAAGATCACATTTGCAAAAAAAAATTGAATATACTGTGGCAGCTGTGTTTTATAATACCAGTTTCTTTTTGTTTAAAAAGATCAATGACATCATTAGATTTGGTGCACAAATGGCACCGTGGTGAGGTGCTTGGGCCTGTGCATCACATCTCAGCTTCATCTTCAGCTGTGACCATGCAAACCATTAATGGTTTGAGCAAACAGAAAGATTTCCTGTTGGTGTTTCACGGTATTCATAACAGGAAAGAGCCAAATGTCTCCAAATTATATACAAAGCATACAATTCCAAGAAGCTGGAGTCCTCAGGCTGAAGCTCAAGTGTGACACCAGAGTCAGAGATTTAAGAAATGGTCCGTGTAAATGCAGATTCATCTTGTGCCACCTACTGTGTTGAGTTTTTAAATTTTAAGGAAAATTTTGGGGGCGTGTGTATTTTCAGTCCAACCAAAGAGACTTGGTGGCAGACCTGCCTTTGGAGTTATTTAACTGTGTTTGTGTGGTGCATGAGAGGTAATTTACAGGCGTGAAGTTTTTTTGTATAAATGGACAACATTTCACTTTCTGTTTACTCACCATTAATTGGATCTATGCCGTGTAGCGTGCCCATCCGTCCCGCAGCAATGCAATCCATATGACCGTCTCCGTTGATATCTAGTTTCCCGCACTGAATAGCAAATACCTCCACCCTGGTGTGTATGGTCCATAGTCTGGTGCCGTTGCGTCCATCTAATGCCATGATTAGTCCAGCACATGGATACGTCATATCTGACAAGAGAAACATTGCAAGCTGAATTCTTCAATTCATCGGACTTGAGAATGACTTGGAACAGAGATTCATAAAACTTTGAAAAACTAAACAGGAAGAAAAAGATGAGTGTGCTTGACATTAAACTATTGAGTAATGCTGCTCGTTCTGAAGGCCCTGTCTAAAATGGAAATTGACTCCAACACAGTAACACTTGAACTCTCATCTGAGCAATTCTCTTTGTTCCAAGTTTCAATACCTTCAAGCCAGGATGTACTGAGGATAACACTTTGTTAGAGAGGTAAACACCTCACAGGTAATCTGGGTCATCGTCAACCATTTCAGTATGTGATCCTTGTTAATATGAACTTCAATAAACACCTGGGATTTGAACTGACAGTAGTCAAGGCTAAGTATTGTGGTGGGTTTGTCCGTCAGATTTACATACTTTGTAATTGGTTTATTGCGGACAGGTCTAATTGGTTCAAAGTCAGAACAATTATTTATAAATTAGAGCGACTATTCATACCCGTTGAACTGTTTTTACTGAAAACAAAGAACAAAACATTTGATCATAACATTTAAAGGGAAAAACGTAAGAAAGAACAAATGCATGATGCGGCATGGCAAAAACAACTTTACAAGCTCCAGCACAAGAGGGCAGTAGCACAACCAGTCAAGATTGCACTGTTTACATGAGGTTCGGATCACCCGCATGCGGCAGTGGTGCATAGTGTACACTATCAGTGCAGGTCTTGGTGGTGCAAGCATAGCGTGAACGGACTGACTATCGCAGTGCGCGCAATCAGGTAATATTAGAGATAACCAATAATCATTAACTAATAGCCAATAACCGATACATGTCATGTTATTTCACGACACTGTGTATTACTTTCAGTGAGCGTCAAATGTTTACGATATTTGCTTTAGGATGCATGTGCTTGGACAAAGAGAAGTTGCAGTGGGGAATAAAAGATGGCTCAAACCTACATCAAAAAACTTCGATAAAAAATAACTGGTAGTAAGATTTCTTAGAATTTGGATAAACTTACAGAATCCAAATCTAACCCGATCATTTCCCCCCTTAACTTACTGACTTTCTTGCAGAATTCGACCTCGTTCTTGACGTCTCGTAATGAGGACGTAGTGGCTGCACCGAGAATAACATCCTGGATGCCATCTTGATTGACATCATATAACCGAATTGCAGTCTCCGTGGCTAGCAGAAAAGCGCAGACAAATCTATTAGCACATACCACTAGGCTCTCTTAACCCCTTGACGACAAGAATTTTTTTCTAAAAGCCGAGTCCGAGAATTCCAGCCTCGCTTGGCCACGAAGGCCACCTGCCAAACCGAAAATTCTCGGTTTGTGGCCCTGTGTGCTCTGCACGCTTTGATTTACACAGTGAAAAGGCTCATTGTTCGGTGGCAAGCGGCTCTACTCACGCTTCCACATTCCCGTTGCCTCTTTTCAA